TGGAAACACTAAACTGGGCACCCTGCCTCTGAATACTAGTCAGGCACGATTTCAATTGGATGTACGAATATTGAGATGTAGTAGGTAGGGTATACTCGTAGGGTAGGGTATACTAGTAGGGCAGTCCCCTGGAAGGTGGTATAGATGTGTGACACCTCTTTCCTGCCAAGGTATGACTTTGAATGTACGGATGCAGTACTGCAAGGCTTTGATGGGGGTCGCACCCTCTCCCCTATATAAGCCCTATTTGCCAGGTTGTCTGTTATTGATCCATTTGAGAAAGTTGGTTTTACTACACCCCACTACCTCCTTATTTCAATAATTTACTCAAAATAATAATTTACTTATTTTTTCCTGGCATTTTATCCATTTTTACCTGAAGACCGGTTACTTATTCTACTTATTCTACTCTCAAGAGCATCCAAGGTGGGGATTATACCACTAACACTGTCATCACAGAGCAGTGAGTCTGCTCCACGCTTGTGAGTAATATTCTGCTTATTTTAATACACTTGTACTATAATACTGAGAGCACTATCTGTGGCTATTTCTTCTTCTCCAAGCACCTAGATAATCATCTGCTATGAAAGACTACGACCATCATATCCCATAAGTGGGGATTATACCACTGTATGCGATCAGGGCCAGTGCAAGGATTTTTGCCGCCCTAGGCAAAAAAAATTTTGCCGCCCCCCCATATGTCCTGCCCACCATGTGACATCACAATGCCCCGCCCATATGCTCTGCCATATGGGCCAACGCCAGTCTTCACAAAGTGTCTTTTATCTGAAAAGACAGTGTGTTTACATTAAAAAGCGCACAGGCTATAGACACCAGAACCACTACATTATGCTGTAGTGCTTCTGGTGACTATAGTATCCATTTACTGTGAGGCAAATTAGAGATTAGTGCCACTAATAATATATTGGATTGCCTACTTACCACCAGATGAGGACAAGAGGCTGATGACAGGCTCAGTCTGGCTCCACAGGTCTGGTGTAGAAGAGGCTCTCTGGAGACTGTTTTTAACAGTGCTCACAACAATTAACGAACAGGAAGCAGCTCCATTTTTTAGGGCCCCTTACACAGCTCAAGGTCTGGGCCCCCAGGGCTTGACCGTGAGTATACTTACAATGCCCACCCATAAATCCACCTACATGGCTCACCCATGAGTTCTCTCACAGGAAGTGGAGTGTATAGGGGATGTTTTATGTGTTATTGTAGAGGATGCAATGTGTGTGTGTGTGTTCTTATAGAATGTAGTGTATAGGGATACCAATTTCTGTAAGGGATGTAGTGTGTTTATAGGGGATGCAGTGTGTGTTTGCGTGTAAGGAATGCATTGTATGTTTCTGGGTGTGTGTGTGTGTAAGGGGTGCAAGGTGTGTTTCTGTATATGTAATTTAATGTAGTGGGTGTCTGTAAGGAGTGCATTGATTGTGTAAGAGATGCATTTTGTTTCTGTGTGTAAAAGAATGAGTGTTTGTGTGAACGTAAGGGATGCATTGTGTGTTTCGGTGTGTCTGTGTGTGAGTAGGAATGCATTGTATATTTCTGTGTGTGTGTGTGTGTGTATGCATTGTGTATGTGTGTAGTGTAAAAGAGAGGGTTTGTGGGGTAGGATAGGGACTGAGAGGGGAGCATCTCAGAATTTTTAAAAAAGTTTTTCATAGTGCTCTCCCCTCCTGTCAATGATTGATTTCCCCTTCCCTCCTATCCCTCCGTATTCTCCCCTTCTGTCCCTTAGTGCTCTCCCTTGGCCCCCTGTTCCTCTGCAGTCCCCCCTTGGTGGTCTTCTCACTCCCCACCTCTCCCCCTTAGTGGTCCTCCATACCTCCCCTTAGTGGTCCTCCCTCTCCCAAACCCCTTAGTAGACATTCCCCTCCCCCCCACCCCCTTAGTGGTAATCTCCCCCCCCCTCAGTGGTCATTATCCTCTTCCCCCCCCTTAGTGGTCCTTACCCTCCTCCCCTCTCCTTAGTGGTCCTCACCCCCCTTAGTGGTCCTCCCTCTCCCAAACCCCTTAGTGGACCTCCCCTCCCTCAGTGGTCCTTCACCCCCCTTCCCCAGTGGTCCAGGGGAAGATTGTCCACTATATGAGGTATAACCGCAGTTAGAACAGTAGTGGGTAAGTAGGTAAGTATATTGGGTACGGCCAGATCTCCTTTTTTCATCGGAGCTTGCAATAATTTCATAGCTACTCTAGGCTTCCCACCTTTCCATATAAATCTAAGGAGATCTGCTTGTGTAGTCTTCAAATATGTCAGAATTATAGTTAACTATAGTGTGTGAAATAGATATAGGAGTCTGGGAAGGATAGACATCTTAAATGCAACTATACGTTCAGTCCAAGAAAGGAATAGGGGTGACCATTTCTGTAGAAGTTGACATGCATTCCATACCCTGATATAGTTTGCGGAGTACAGGGCAGTAGGGTTTCTAGTGATGGATAATCCCAAATACTTAATATAATCTGATCTCCAATCAAACTGATAAGTTTGGGCAAGAGTATGCAAGAGCTTAGAGAGAATACCTACAGCCTTAGCTTGGGTTTTTGTTGCATTGAGGGAATAATATGAAACCTGCCCATATTCTTTTATCGATCAGAGAATGGAGGGTAGGCTTACTTGCGGGTTAGTGACATATAACAAGATATCGTCTGCGAATGCACTAATTTTTATCTGAGAGCTATTGAGAGTTACTCCCTGTATGTCAGGGTGCATTCTGATAGGTGGAGTAGGGGTTCTAGAGCGAGCTCATAAAGTAAAGGGGAAAGTAGACATCCCTGACGTGTGCCATTTGTCACTTGAAACGGATGTGACAGAGACCTGGATTGTGATACTTGGGCTGTGGGGTATGAGTATAGTGCAAAGATTTGCTGAATCACTGGGTGGGGCAATCCATAGCATCCAAGCTCCTGAGCTTGTTGCGTACCAAACCAAATTTTCAAGCATTTTCCAGACCATGTCTCCCCTGCACAAACCGCGTTTGATCATTTTGAACTAGGTGTGGCAATATCTGACTGAGTCCATTGGCTAAGATTTTGGCGTAAATTTTTGCATCTGTTGGGAGACTTTTCTGTTTGGGAATGGTCACTTTCATGGCCAATAACATTTACCTAGGCAATTTGCCCATGTTCGTGGCATCATGATAGACTTTAAGTAAGTGAGGGGCAAGTATATCAGCAAACTTTTTATAATAAAAGTTAGAGAGCCCATCCAGTCCTGGCATTTTGCCCCGGGGCAATTGCTTTATATTAGCCAAAATTTCTTGTAAGGTGATGGGCTGCATAAGGTCCCTTATGTGGTCTGATGTTAGTTGTGGGAGAGATGTTGAGCTTAAGTATTTTGTCACCTCTTGTAGAAGTGTGTGTGTTAGGATCCAAGTGTAAATTGTATAGTTTAGCATAACAAATCGCAAATTCTTGGATTATTTCTTGACGCCCTATGCATTTGGTTCCTCCCTCTTACAAAAAGCTATTTTGGAGTCTTCCAGTTTATTTCTCAAACGGGTAGCTGGGGTCTTGGACGCCCTTCCTGAGGAATGGCAAGAAGCAGCTTTTAGTCTTTGTAAAAGATTGTTTTAACAGCGTTAAGTTCCGTAAGTTTTTGGTATGGGGAGTTCAGCTTAGTCAGTAGGTCAGGCGTTGGATTTAGTTTATTCTGTGACGAAACCTGTGCTAGTTGTTTATGACATTCTAAGAGTTCTGACTGGGGTGGCTGCTTGAGAGAAGCAGCCTTTTTTATTAATCCAACTCTAATGACTGGGCAGACCATACCGTGGCATTTGGAACTTCTCCTTGAGAGTTGCGTTGAAAGTTGTACACAGCACATTCGAAAAGGGAAGAGTCGTGATCTAGCCATATCTACCTGACATCAAGAGGCATAATGTGAACCTTACAGGCTGGTGAAAACAAAGTGGCTGGAGATGTACATTTTAACAAATCTGAGTAACATATTATCAGATCTAAACTGCATTAAACTTTGCCTTTGATAAAGGCGCTTTTGCAGCGCAGAAACGCGTTAGGCGTTATGTTCTTTGTTTTATTTTATTTAATCACGGTCACCTTTTTATTTTAGTTGAGCACTTGTCTTCTGGATGGGGGTGTTGTCTTTATTAGAAGGCTGACATTATGATGGTCGTTTAGGTGCAGACAGCGAGACACTCATTATATTCAGTGTACCAGTGAGACAGGACGTCAGTTGAATCCTCTGTCAGCTATCTGATTAATAGACAGTGGAAGTACCACTCAAAATAGGTTTTATGTTTGGGGATGATCCTGACGATTAAGCAAGCCAACCCCTAGATGGTACATTAAGGGGGTGGCTTCTTTTCTCACAAGACACAGTCACTGATTAGTTAGGAGGTATCCAATATTAACCTCCTGTCTTGCAATATTTGTCTGACTTTATTGGTTTGAGAGGGTTACTTTGTTAAGAGGGTACACTTGTACTTCATAGTGTTTAGTCAACATTTTGATACAGATATGTTACTTTGCAACTTTGATACAGTATCTAGTTGACCTGATGAGACACCACTATTAAGGGATTTGTTGTTTATCACAAATCTACCCTGCTTTTCTTAGACCCTCTCTCTCCCTATCATTAGTTTCTCAGCCTATACAATTATTAGGACACTTTGAAGCTTATTGAGCTCCCCCCTAGGAAGTTACTCTTTTGTTGTTTTATTAGAGTGTTTTTTTCTTCTCTTTTTTTTTCTCATTCCGTCATTTTTACGTCATTATTTATTTTTCTTTTTGGAATTTAATAAAGTATATGTTTTTATATTTAATTATATTTAATTTAATCTAGACTCTGAGGTATCCCCTCTGTGCTCTATAGACAACTGTCCCTGGATCACACTCTTTGTTGTTTCCTAAACAGCATTAAAGGCTAGATCAATTGGACAACCAAATGAAGCATTTTAAATTCAATAGTAATTAGACCATGTTGTGTGGTAGATAGGTTATGGCATACGATACCCATGCGAAGATTAGGAGAGTTAATACTGGGTCCACACCGGCATCATCCGTGGAATCTTCGCTGGTATAGCGGGTTGGAGTTTTGGTAGTGGGATGCCCCAGTCTCTCAGTTTCTGTAGGCTGTCTTCTATGGTCATAACCGAGTGTATAGCACCTTGTCGGACTATGAGCAGCTTCGCCGGATAACCCCAGCAGTAGGAGATATCCTTCGTCCGAAGCGAGGAGGTGAGTGTGGTCAGTGATTTGCGGAACTGCAAAGTTGTCACAGAGAGATCAGCGAAGACCTTGATTTTTCCATATGGCTCTAGAAGGTCATCGTTTCAGCAGGCCTTGAAAATATGCTCCTTTACATGGAAGAAATGGATGCGGGTAATTACATCTCTTGCTACTGTGGCAGATAGGTGTTTTGGGCATCTGAGCTGGTGAGCCTTGTCCACAATAAGTTGATACGAGGTGGATCTCTGGTGTAACGGCTTGAAAGAGGTCTAGTTGGTAGTTAGGTAGGTCCGCATTGGTTACCTCTTCAGGGATCCCCCTAATGCGAAGGTTGTTCCTCCGTGAGCAGTCTCCTAGGTCTGCTAGATTGTTTTTTTATGAGTTTGTCTGTCTGCTAGGCTATTATGTGCAACAGCGAACTAATCCATCTTCTTTTCAACATGGGCTGTTCTCTGGCCCATATCATGAATTTCCCTTCGCAGGTCTGTTGCAAGGGTTTGCAGCTGGGTGGTAATGGTAGATTGCAGTGTGGATGATAACTCGTTGAAGCTGGCGGGGAGTGGGAGACCTCCTGCAAGTGTGAGCTGCCGCCATCTTGAGAGGGGTTAAGGCCTTTCCGGCATTTCCCCGGGGAGGCTCGTACCAGAAAAAAGGACGCTCAGTCTGCTTTTGCTGCTTTAGCTTTTTGTCTCTGGGACATGGCAAGGCTGCAGGTAAGTTATGCAGTTTGACTTGCACTGTATTATGCTTGGTTTTTGCTCTTTTCTGCCCAAGTCGACAGAGCTTCACAGAAGCGTGTCCTCTCGCCTCAAATACCAGTTCTTCATATTTTGTTAAATCAAAATCCAACAAACAGAACAATTTGTATGGGTTAGTGGATCCTGGATTGTTGGAATTTTAGAACCGGTAAGATTGGCTCTTCAACCCAATTTAGCAAAATAAACACCAATGTTGATGTTTCTCTGTTCTTTCCCATATTCAAAACAAATTTTGGTTCACTGCTAATGGCAGATAGGCTCTTAGTCTGCTCTAATGATCAGTAGATAGGAAGGTTGCAATATGTGGTACTTTCTCTATATTCTCTATATACCCACCAATCTACTAATATTTTTTGCCCTTCTTATTTTGGCTTTTAAATTTATTTATTTTTTACTTTTATTATTCTTATTAGAGTTACTCATTGACCTAAGTAATCTAAAAATGCAAACATTTGATGGTGATTGTTCAAATTATGTTTTACAAAACAATTATTATGATGGGGTCATGTGGTCAATAAAATGTCACTTAGTATAATCTCTACTACCTTTTATTCACTGGCTTAGGGATTACTTATCAACAGCCTGTTTTGGCATTACTATGTGGTACATAGTTTATTCAACTTTATTACTATGTGGTACATAGTTTATTCAACATAGTTTATTCAACATTATTCAACTTTAACACTATTTCCTATTTATTATATAAAACTCAAATATATATATTTGAGCTGGTGAGCCTTGTCCACAATAAGTTGATACGAGGTGGATCTCTGGTGTAACGGCTTGAAAGAGGTCTAGTTGGTAGTTAGGTAGGTCCGCATTGGTTACCTCTTCAGGGATCCCCCTAATGCGAAGGTTGTTCCTCCGTGAGCAGTCTCCTAGGTCTGCTAGATTGTTTTTTAATGAGTTTGTCTGTCTGCTAGGCTATTATGTGCAACAGCGAACTAATCCATCTTCTTTTCAACATGGGCTGTTCTCTGGCCCATATCTTGAATTTCCCAGCCTGTTTTGGTATTACTATGTGGTACATAGTTTATTCAACTTTATTACTATGTGGTACATAGTTTATTCAACATAGTTTATTCAACATTATTCAACTTTAACACTATTTCCTATTTATTATATAAAACTCAAATATATATATATATATATATATATATATTTATTTTGTTTCTTAGTGATAAATATTTCCGCAGACTACAGAGAGAATACCGATACTAAAAAAAAAAAAAATTAGAACACAAACATTTAATTTGTATAATTTTGCTACACCTAATAAGAAGGTCTATTTAATGATTTGCCATAATTCTTCCTCAACTCTTTCCAAGCACCCTGGCTCTCACAATTGGAACATGACATGTTGTTTTGCTGAAGGAAGGAAACTCGGGTTCAAATTACGGGATTCGGATATTCATCTTCAGTGAAATTTTTACGAAGGTTCATTTCCTCTTTCCTTTGAGGTCTTTGCTTGCCCTCAGCAAGAGTATCTTCCATGCAATATTCCTGTTATCTATTCATCTCCTCTTATGAACTATGGAAATTCAACACGCATCTAAGTATTGTGTTTTCCTTCACACCCAGGCACAAAGACAACGAGTTCTAATATACAAACCACTTCCTGGTGCTATAGAGTTCAGCTGCTGACTATTTATAATGGATTATTTCAAGAACAAAAACATTATCTATGCAATTAAAATTTTTACTATTTCACTTTTTATTAAATATATCTGACATTGCTAGAAAAATCTAAAAAACAAAACATTAATTTATTACATTATATAACTTCAATTAAACTTAACCACATTGGTAGAAGTAAAATAGTAGGAAATTAAACAATTGCAATTAATCTACTCACTCTTGCCTATGCAATTGTACATTTGTCATGTTTTGCTTTACCTTATTTCTTGGTATATCTTGTTCTAGGAGATCCATGCAAATGTCTACTATTCATATCTACCATGGATCAATTTTCAAAGTTCTCAATCTCACACTTCAACCTCAATTATCTTGTTACTTCGCTAAAGTTCCCAGTTCATTGAGTAACCACATGGTATACATGACATATAAACTTTACTGAGCTAATAACAAGTTCACCAACTTTGTTTACTTTAGCATGAGTCAAGTGCACTTGACCTATACTTGAGTGACACCTGACTCTTCTTGAGTTTTGACCCTAATTTTAATAAACAAAAAACACTATTCTAATCGAATAATGCTCAAACCTGCAGGTATCTCATAATACTTAATGCGGCACTGTCACCGCATATTGAAAATGAGTATTTCAAGATAGAATCATTATGAAATACGCGTTACGACTGTGCTGAAATTTCAATGATATTCCAACCCAGTAAAGAGAAATGTCGATACAAACAAACAGACCAATTTATATGGGTTAGTGGATCCTGGATTGATGTTTCTCTGTTCTTTCCCATATGCAAAACAAATTTTGGTTCACTGCTAATGGCAGATAGGCTCTTACTCTGCTCTAATGACCCACCAATCTATTAAGATTTTTTTTGCCCTTGCTTTGTCTCTGTATTTCTACTCCACCTGACAGAAGGCAAAGCCTATTTGTCAAAACCTGTAGATGCCATCAGTGATGGCTGCAGGGTATTGGCTGAGTCTATAGAGGATCCCACAGTCTCGCGGGATTTCCCATAGGCCTCAATGCTGTACTCTTGCACATGCGAGCTGAAGACAAGGAGCACGACCAAGATGCGGGTACCCAAGAGAGACAGGTTTAGGTAAATAATCTCACCATTACCTGCCCTCTGCGGCCACTGAACCATCAGCACCAATGTCGCCGCTGCATTGTTAATGATGCATTTTTATTCCAAAAAATATTTGCTGTGCTCTATGCCCTGCAGTGGACTGAGAAATCACTAGTTCACCCAGTTGCAATTCTACTGAGTGAGTAAGCTACTTCCAATTTTATATTTCCTATCTGATTTGGAAGATCAGTAATGCCTTGTCAGAGCAGTTGCTTTTATTAATTCAAAATTTTAATGTTTGAATTGTTTATTTTAACATGTTGTAGCTTTATTATTCACCACAATCTCATGCGGTTTTCTATTCTTCAAGCAACGTGTGTGATTTCCAATAAACTTGGACATTCATTTTTGGAAAAATAAACATGAATATCGTCTCATTCGTTCATTTGTCCTCATCCTGAAACACAAATGACACAATATGAGAATGAACAAATGGATAAAAATAACATTTTAAATTTAATAACATTTGTTCATTAGTTACTATATTTAAGAGTTCCATTACAAAATTGGTGATCTGTGGTTAATCGATAGTGTGGTATGCTTACACAATGTCACATAAGGCTACCAAAGTAGGGAGCTATCTACTAAAAAGTTAGAAGACCAAAATTAGAAAAGAAGGAGTTTTCTTAAGTTTGATCTTTCAGCTGCCTAGTAGATATATCTACCTATTTTGGTACATGTTATAACAACAAAACAGGGAAAAATTGGACAGTGCATGCATCGAATCCTACAGTATTTATGTTCATATTTAGCATAAAAATTGTAATTGTACAATAAAATGGGGCTAACCAGGGATTGTGGAGAATGAATGTAACCCAGGAATGCCGTATCACTGACAAGAGAATTGTAATGTATAGTCTAAAATAGCTGACTTAACAGTTAAGTGAATATCATCCGTACATTAAAACATATATATTTTAAAATAATAAACTTCAGTAAATCATCATTGTTTAATGCTCACTGTACAGTTGCTTTGCACATTTCTTGCACATCTAATGAGATTGTGATAAAATATATAGTTAATTGCTTTCAGAATTGTAAATAAAATACCCACCTCCATTGCAGCACCAACATCATGCCAATATAGCACACGCTTGAAGCTACTGTCTAGTTACCCTCCCTGTCTACCTTTTTGACTGAAAAAGTGGAGAAGAGCACATCTTATCCTTGATGCTGACACCTTGACCTCACTGCCAGCTCATGAGTATCATGAATTATCCAGATGGGTTCATCTGCTCTCTCATGTCATTCATATTAATCACTGATCCTATAGTATAGATCCTGCACTGTCAGCATAGACCTGACTGCGCAAACATTGATTGACATGTGAGCGAATGGACCATAATCTTTTTAATTATTATAAAATGTGATAGGTAAAATATATTAAAGCCTCAAAGACTGCTATGCAACTTCTTACCCTGCTAACATGGAGGGGTTCAAACAGCAGACAATCTCCTGCAGTCTGTCTTAATAAAACTATTTTAACACTCTCTTAACCTTTATTGCCTATGACTTTGAAATCCCATTATGCGGTTACACCATTATGCGGTTACACCCATTCAGAAGGGCTTTCAAGCAAACACTTTAATTCAGGATGTGCTACTTTAAGCAACATTGTGTTTTTCACTATATTCTTTATGTTAACATTCCAATGGGCTTTAATCTCCAAAATTCATTCTTACATTTCATAGACTTGAAGTGAGTCTATGAATCATCTCCCTGCTGGTTAATGGATTACACTACACAGAAAAAAAACTACTGTGAAATACCTATGTGTTTCGGAGAACATCTTAAGGTTTTTTTAAGAGCATCAGTTTGTGTACTGCAATCTCTGGTAACTGGAAGATATCCTAAGGAGTGAAAAGTTGAAAATGAAACATTCTAGGACATGCAGTAAAATAGGTAATTCGTATGAGCCTTGGCACAATTCATCAAGAAAGTTACTGACATAGTGTTTCGCCAATAGAGTTTCTTTAATTTCAAGTATATCCCAGGCTGATTTGTTTATTTTAAATAGATCAGCAATTATATTAATACATTCCATTCTGATATTTGTCTAAAAACACCTCCTTGGCATAGTAATAACAGTTTGGGACACTTGAAATTGACTCACACCTTTCATGGTCGCGCATTTTGTGCTAGGGGAACAATTCTTGCTCCCAGTTATTATGGGGTTCAGGGAGCCATTTTGCTTACTAAATAATTCCATGCTTATGTATGACTTCATTGAATGTGTTGGAGGTGGGCACCATACAAATGGTATACGTAGAAAAAAGATAAAGTGATTTGCGCACACAGAAAGAAATATTTTGGTTTACGTTACACTCGGTGTTTCTTTGGTAACCAATACACATAATAATTAATTTTAGCTGCACCAGACTGTTTATCTTGAAAGCGCCTTTCTGTCCTTTATTTTACCTTTTGTATTTACCACAAATGGTATGTATGGGGCCATTCCACTGAGATACCTGATGCATAAGGCGTCCTGAAGACCTACAAAGGTAGATAAAGAACAGGGACGTTACTATGGCCAAAAATTGGTGACCCCTTTCTAAAGATCCACCTCTGGCTCTTTTGAATTCTACTACTTAATACATGTCTTGGCAGACTCACAGTTATCTACAGAGTCACACACAGATAAACATGCACACACATAGACACAGATGGGATGACAGAGATACACACAGACATGTACAAGCCCACACAGAAACAGACACACACAGGCACAGATACACATACATAGATTATCTGAGAGTTGCCATTATAACCTGCGAGAACACTCTGAACGACCCAGAGCATTACACAAGGTATGTAAATGCGGGGTGACAGCTGTACTAGCACCAGGACTTGGGACACAGGATAATAATTACATATGGTATTTTGGAGACCTGTGGATTTTGGGGGGCTAACTTTGGGCTCTAGGAAGAGTAACTTTATCCTGACATCCTCAGCCACAGTCTAAGTCAGCTTATGCAGCCAGTGGGCTTATCTAATATATGTATTTATTCTGTTTGGTTAGAAAGTGTGTTCACAAATTAATTTCTAATCTAGACAGCATAAATGTGGGTCAGTTCAAGATATTTTGTTCAGTTTGATTAAAGTTTGTTGGTTTAAATCGACTTCAGTTCAGCCAATAGAAAATATTTGCAATTTTATCAAAATTAAAAGAAGCCATTTTGCATTAGCTCAATGCCACATATTTGAAGAAGTGCTAAATTACCCCAAATCAAACTTTGAATTTTGCTTCACTTCCTAGTATAGTAATACAACGTAAATGCCTCATAATGGTATCATTATTAGTCGTTTGTAAGGCTTGGAACTGATTGTGCCAGTCTTGGCACTTCAACTACTGCTGTACTATAATTTGCACATTCCTCTGCAAGCAGCAGAGGTCACACAGGAAATTTAGAATAATAATCCACAGATATCTTGAGCTCGTATACTAACGTTTACAAAGCAAGGCCTTAAAATAAAAGCAGATTGTTTTTTTCCAGCCCCCTACATTGTGTGTGTGTGAATGTGTTGTGTATATGGGATTGTATAATTGTATGCCTGTATCTGTGTGTGTATAGCAGTATATAGCTTTAGCAGTATATGTTAATTAATCTGTATGTGTATAGTAACACGGATCTGTGCATCTGGGAATTCGATTCTGAAGTTCCCATGTTAGGAGACAGCTTGGTCATTGACGCCTGGTTAAGTAAATTTTGACATCTAAACAAAAAATTAATCTAAAAATTCTATTCTTCACAGAAGCTAATGGTTAAATTAACCTGTAATTCCTTTCCCTGATGCAGTCCACTTTTGCCTTGCCTTGTGCATCATCTGTCCGCTGTTTGCTCTAACACTGTATATTGTTTGTAACCTGGCAAGCTGTCTTCGCTTCTGAACACATTTATCATTTATGTCTCCTTGACAACGTTCACCTTTTTGTGTAATTTTACCCCTCTCTATTTACCTTGTAAGCTTGTTCGAAGAAGACTTTTGCCTAACTTGTTTTCTCCTAATTCTTTATATTTATCAGTTACTCAATGTGCAATAATGTGGATTATGAATGAAATACAGAATAAAATAAACCATATAATAAAGAAAAAAGTAAATACAAAAAAGTGTTGAAAATGATCTTGAAATAGGCATTGAAAGCCATGTTTAGGTGTTTGTAGATGACACAAAACTTTGTAAAGTAATAAAATGTGAGCAGGATATTGCTTTGCTGCAGAGGGATTTAGATAGATTGGGGGACTCAAATGGCAGATGAAATTTAATGTAGAGAAATGCAAAGTTATGCACTTTGGGGTAAGGAATGCACAAGTACCTTACGCCCTAAATGATAGTGAATTAGGGATAACCACACACGAGAAGGATTTGGGAATTGTTATAGACAACAAATTAGGCAGCAATATGCAATGTCAATTGGCAGTTGCTGAGTCCAGTAGGGTTTTGTCATGTATAAATAGGGGCATAAATTCTCGGGATGAAAATATAATTTTGCCTCTTTATAAATCACTAGTAAGACCACCCCTTGAATATGCTGTGTAATTTCGGGCATATGTGCTAAAGAAGGGTTCCATGGCACTAAAAAAAGTGCAGAGACGGGCTACAAAATTGATAAAAGTAATGGAGCATAATAATTATGAAGAGAGGTTAAAACATGTAAATCTCTTTATTTTGGAAAAACTGCGTCTCAGAGGGGATATGATAACATTATACAAATATATTTGGGGCCAGTACAAACCATTATCTGGAAATCTATTCATAAACAGGGCTATACATAGGACACAAGGTCACGCACTTAGGCTGGAAGAAAGGAGATTTAGTCTAAGGCAAAGAAAAGTAAGAACTGCAAGGATATGTAATTTTCTGCCTGAAGAGGTGGTTTTATCTGAGTCCATACAGATGTTTAAACAGCAAATGGATAAATACTTGCAAAAATATAATTTCTAATTAGTGGGGTAAAAGCTGCTTGATCCAAGGAGATATCTGACTGCCATTTTGGGGTCAAGAAGGAGTTTTTTCCTAGTTTGTTGCAAAATTGGAAGCGCTTCAGACTGGGTTTTTTGCCTTCTTTTGGATCAACAGCAAAACCATATGTGAGAAAGGCTGAACTTGGTTGACGCAAGTCTCTTTTCAGCTATGTAACTATGTAATTTCTACGGTTTCTGATGGAGCACAAGTGGGAAACTTATGGCAGTTAGTAAATGGCATTTTTGGTGTAACTTTCCCACAACGCCAGATAAAATCCCTCCATTTGTATGTTTTTAGTAGGGATGTGTGAAACAAACTTGAACAGGAAGGCTCTGCGTGTCACATGCAGGGAGGTGTGACTAGGGTTCATAAACAAAGTGATTTAACTCCTAGATGGCAGAGAATTGATCAGTGAGATTGCAGGGACATGACCAAAACTGCTTCATTGAGCTTAAGTTGTTTTGGTGACTATAGTGTCCCTTTAAGTCTCCATTACTGGTGGGTTATGCTACATAGTGCTGTAAAATATCTAGTTTAAATAAAAACTATAGATATTTGCATGTTATTATGATGCTGATATCTATAAAATACACCCAATTTCTTGTCTTGTTCTGCGTGTTTTTTTAAGAACTATAAATAACATGAATAACTATAAATAACATTTGACAACATTTGAGTGTTCATCAAGCCAGCAAGTTAGTCTTAAAGGCTCAGTTCTGTTCAGCTCTACTTTAAATTATTCCTTTAAAAAAATATTACTATTACTTCCTCTTTTTCTATGAAGCCACATTATCAATCATATTTTATTATAATAAGTATTTTAAACACCATAGGGAATGGAGAATACATAGATCAGGCTGGAAAACCCCAATTTAGTAGATATTAGTAGAAAGTAGGTCCATGCATTTAAGGCTTCTTCAAAAAGGCAGATTTATTGAAAACTGAATGTGCAATGTTTCGGTCTACACAGAGGCCTTTGTGTAGGCTGAAACATTGCACATTCAGTTTTCAATAAATCTGCCTTTTCGAAGAAACCTTGAGTGCTTTAAGTCCCTTTAAGAATCAGTGGATATACATAATTCCAGAATATGTCATCATAACATTCTGGTCCTGTGAGATCTCACTCTGATAAGATCTGTCCAACCATTTAGCAATAGCAGTTACCAGCAGGACTGCTCTTATCAGACCAGATTGTGATCATTGAAAGAATTGTCATCAGAGAAGGAACTGATGTCCATGCATGATAACATTTTGGCTTTATTAGTCCTCTTGGGACACACACATAGGCCTTGATTTAATACTTTGTTGGACAAAATTTTCAAATTATTCTAATCTGTTAGAAAAACATTCCAAATGCGTTATCTACAAAAGTCACAATTATGGTCTATGAGAATTCTGAAAAAAATAATTCTAACAGATTTAACTAATTTGAAAGCTTATCCATTTGAAAACTTTATACAAAAATAATAAATCGAGGTGATATTAAGCAATGGACACCAGTAGAGATGGGAGAATGGTGCAGATGGGCTGCAATAAAACAAAAATTACACGTATTTGAGTGGTAAGCACTAATCAGAAGTGTTTAAAAAACATGTTGTGCCTTGTGCCTTGACAATTCGATTACTGAAGATGTTGATGAGAGCCTGGATAACTAACCATGTCAATATTTTGGGTTATTTTCTTTTTACCTAACTAACCCCACGTTCTCCAACAGAAGAAGAAGAAGAAACAGTCTCTCTCACAAACTCATATTTAAAGGATCACTATAGTGTCAAGAAAAAAAAAAACGTTTTCCTGACACTATAGTTCCCTAAGGTTGCCCCCACCCTCAGGGTCCCCCTCCCTTGGCGCTGAATGGGTTAAAACCCCATCAGCCACTTACCTTAATCCAGCACCGGGCTCCCTCGGCGCTGGTGACCTCTCCTCCCCTGCTGACGTCAGCTCCCGAGTGGAGCGGAATACGCAATCGCGGCAAGTGCCGTGCGCGCATTCAAACAGTCCGTAGAAAAGCATTTCTCAATGCTTTCCTATGGACGCTCTGCACGCTGGATGCGAATTTTGCAGGAAGACAGCCACTTGAGGTTGGATTAACCTTGCTATGTAAACATAGCAGTTTCTCTAAAACTGCTATGTTTACATCTGAAGGGTTAAAACCTGAGGGACCTGGCACCCAGACCACTTCATTGAGCTGAAGTCGTCTGGGTGACTATGGTGTCCCTTTAATAATTTATATATATGTATACTTATTTAGCCGTACTCTCTCACACATATATAGCCACACTCACATATTTTCTCAAAAACTGACTGATTACAGACACAATCACATAAACGCATATCTTATTAGTCATATTTTTTATACATACTTAAATAATTACTTACACAGATATGTAATTTGCCACATTCTTACACCCATACAATTAGCAGTGAAACAGAAGCAACCAACCTCATTACTTAAATACTTTCCAAAAAGTATCATAAAGAAGGTTATTTTGTTGAAATAATGGATTATTTTAATAGTATTTCATCTTACTAAGAATTATTTTTATATTAGCGATTTTGGGGCCTTTATGTCTAATTTTGTGGGAAGAAAATTAAAATTTTGAACACATTTTCCTACAAATACATACATAATTAGCCACATTCTTCCCCGCCTACAAAATTAGTCATACTGCCTCTCACATTCATATCTGGCTACACACACATAACTCAACGCACGCTCTTATATATAGGTAGATAATAAATATTAATATATTGCAGCTCTCATTCTTTCACATAAACATACCTAGCTAATCAACTTTGGCCAAATTAATTTGTACTAAAATTTATGTAGTCTGAAATTCATCCAAAGGGTTATTTGGCTCAGACGATTTTCATACACGCAAATAATTTCCTAAATTGAAACAAAGTGCTGTGGAAACGGACCAATCTGTGTGCTGCGAAATATAAATATTGTAAATATTTTCCATTACACATTTTTGCATCATTTGGTTCACAGATCAAGCAAGAAAAAGTATCCAATAAAGTAGTAAAAAAAATTGTAATCTGTATTTATTAAAAATATGAATATATATATTTTTTTGTTTTGTTTTAGTGCTTCTTCTTTTTTCCCCTATATTGGTTACTTCTCACTTGACCTGTGAATAAAATCAACATTTCATGGCTGTCTCCTAGCCATCAATCATCTTTTTTCCCATCTCTTATGGTTCTTTTTAGCGCCATTGGCAGAACTCAGAATCACAAAAAAAATAAACATGCCCATCCACTATCTGGTTCATTTGTTCATTATGCGTCAATATGGTGCTTTAAAATGTATGGAATTTGGGCAACCTGGCAATTGCCCAAAATCCAGATGAATACCAGTTTGTTTAAATCTCAAAGCACTAGTCTACTATCTAATCACAGTGTATAAAAAAAAAAAGGAGAGGAATACCGCACACTTATTACAATCCTGGCTGTCAATCAGACAATGTAAGCAGAAAAACAGTGAGTGACATAAACCGTAGAGATATGAAAACGCAGAAGAGAGCAGCAGCAAAGAAAGAGGAGGTGCTTAAGGCTGCCTCACCATATATACCCATTGTCTATTTTTGATTGGTTCTTTGTTCTATGGGTTTTTCTTTGCTGCTGTGGAACTCGGTTAAGAAAGAAACACAAAATATAAAGCCTCCTGTCATGTTGTAAAATTGGAAATGGCTACAATTCTTTTGTTTATTTTTTTTGCCACATCCTTCCACACTGTTAGGTATTGAATTCACGTAACTTTGCCTCTTATCTAACATCACTCACTGGAGTTTATCACATGCAGCATGCAGCAAGTCAGGGAGTTATTCAGAACACACATCAATGCCCCCATTTGCATGTATAATAAAGCATTTTAATGACCTGATTATGGTTGCTTTGCATAATACTATGTAACTAGAAATAGTGATTTCAGACCGGACATAATCTGGATGAAAGGGATTGCTAAGAAAGCTATGGCACAAATAATAATGTGATGCTTGAGTTCTTGTGTACTTATCGTCACGTCATCTCATTATCAGTTCTTAATCACAAACCACATACAAAATCTGCACACTGCAAAGCCATAATAACATGTCACATGAGCACAACCCGTTTTAAAATCTTAAAGAGTTACTGCAACCCTTTTAAAATAATTTGGCATTAGTAATTAGGTCCCCCTTATATAAGTATAAACTTAGCGGGAATCCGGCTTCTGGCAAGCCAAGCCTCGCTGGCTTCTGACTTCACAGCTTTATTTGAACCGGGCAGGGAAGGGAGAGGAGGGTGAACAACGCAGGGAGGGAATTAAACAAAAACAAAAAAGATAAATCATAAAAAATATAGGGAGGTGGCGTCGCATTACCTGTTCGCTGCGCCGCGTGCTCCCTGCAGAGTCGCGTGTTTCTGATTCTTCCACTTTCGGGCTCCGGCACTCCACACAGTTGACAGTAAGCCTATTGGTCTACAGTTAAACCTGTCTTAAATCTGAAAACTCCTACTGCTCCTCCACTTTCTACTGCTATTCTTACGCAAAACTATGACCAGAAAAGAGTATTTGACAAGGGTGAGGCTGACTATCTTCCTCACCATAGACTCTATGGCTGCTTCATAAACCTACTGCCTGCTACTATGTAACCCCTATATAACATTGTTTTCTTATCTGTAACTTTATTATTTAGTAAATGATTTTTTTTTTCAAAGCCCAACCAACATGTTCATTTTTTGTTTCCCCTTCACCCTGGCACTTATGTATACACGACTGCCAGGCTATACAACCATACCCATTAGCATCATTGCAAATTAAATTTGTTAATTGCAAATTATGCAATAACTACAGTCCGATAGCTCACAAAGCAGCGGCATAGGGAGCCGCGTAGTTCTGTAGCCAACGCTGCAAACTCGTCATTCAATATACCTACAGGTCCTTATAAACACACAAGGCAACCCCTATTTTTTCACTAATGGTGTTAGTGGGGGCCTCATTTTTTAGTTTTGCCTAAGGCCTCACAAAGTCTTGAGCCGCCCCTGCTCCCGATACTCCCCTTCATCCCTGTGGGTTCTTGTCTAAAAAGTTACTCAGACCGAAAATAATTACACTAGCTTTGAAGGAATGGCGACACCTTCTTGAGGGTTCTGTAATACCTGTGATGATATTTACAGTACATAAAAACCTGTGTTGTATAAGTGAAGCCAAGAGACTGAACTCCAGGCAACCTTGCTGGTCTCTTATATTGCTTCAATATAACTATATGATTTCCTACAGACCTGGTAGCATTTTGAAACTGCTGATTTTGATGACTTGCACGACTCACCAATAGTATCAGTTGAACAATTTTCTCTAGCAAATACATGGAGCATATTCTAAGAGCTCAATCACAGGTGCCTCCAGATTTCCCCCTTGGGAAAAAGTTTGTTCCTTTCGTGGAAAGAACCAATATCCTTGATTATCTGCATGGCACTAAAACGGAAGGCCGTCTAAGTATAAACAAGACAGTTCCGTGATATTTGGTGGCTCATTTTACATACATAGGTCAAAGATTATGCATGTGCTTGTATCAAATGCACTCAGGCTAAGTCTTTTCACCAAGTACCAAGTGACTTGTTACAGCCATTGCCTATATGCTATAAACCATGGACAGCCTGTGTCAGTCCGAGGGGAGTAAAGAGGGAGGAACTGGGGGCGGGTGCATCTTGCAATTAGGCTACTGGCGGCCAGGGCTGCCATCAGAAATTTTGGGGCCCCTGACAAAGCACAAGAATGTGTGTAAATGTGTAGCGAATGCAGAGTGTATGTTAATGTGTAGCGAATGCAGAGTGTGTGTTAGTGTGTAGCAGATGCAGAGGGTGTGTTAGTGTAGCGAATGCAGATTGTGTTAATGTGTAGTGAATGCAGAGTGTGTGTCAGTGTAGTGGATGCAGTGAGTGTGTTAGTGTGTAGTGAATGCAGAGTGTGTGTCAGTGTAGTGAATGCAGAGAGTGTGTTAGTGTGTAGTGAATGCAGAGTGTGTGTTAGTGTAGTGAATGCAGAGTGTATTGTACAAGTGTATGCAGTGTGTGTGTGTTGTGTTAGTGTATGCCGTGTGTGTGTGTTGGTGTATGCCGTGTGTGTGTTGTGTTAGTGTATGCAGTGTGTTGTGTTAGTGTATGTAGTGTATGTGTGTTGTGTTAGTGTATGCAGTGTGTGTTGTGTTAGTGTATGCAGGTTGTGTGTGTTGTGTTAGTGTATGCAGGTTGTGTGTGTTGTGTTAGTGTATGCAGTGTGTGTGTTGTGCTAGTGTATGCAGTGTGTGTGTTGTGTTAGTGTATGTGTTGTGTTAGTGTATGCAGTGTGTGTGTGTGTGTTGCACAGTGCACAGCAATTTTGGTGGCATGCCCCGCCCCTGCTGTGGAGCCCTGCCCCCTGAATAAAAGCTCCGCCTCTCGCATGCACCCACGCCCCCACGCACATTGCTGGCCTCGCTGGATGACAACTTCACCTACCAGTGACAGGTAAGCTTCAGCCATGACATCGATTTAGTATTGTGTGTGTGCCTGCTAGTGAGTTAGCTTGTGTGTGTGACTGCTAGTGAGTGAGCTTGTGTGTGTGTGTATGTGCCTGCTAGTGAGTGAGCTTGTGTGTGTGCCTGGTAGTGAGAGAGTTCTACTAATCGGTGCATACCGCTCGTGAATTCTATCAGATTGTTTTGGAACAGTTTGATAAAGCCTGGGGTTCTCCACTGTATATATAACCAGATCCGTCTAAAGCAAGATTTTAGAAGCATATCATCATATCTGTTCCATTGTAGGTGTGATGTTGTGCCAATGACTCGTTTACAGGGAAAAGTAAAGGGTGGCCACAGAATCAGCTTGTGTGTGTGTGTGTGTGTGTGCCTGCTAGTGAGTGAGCTTGTGTGTGTGTGTGTGTGCCTGCTAGTGAGTGAGCTTGTGTGTGTGTGTGTATGTGTGCCTGCTAGTGATAGAAAGCGCGTGTGTGTGTCGGTGAGCGAGTGTGTGTCAGTGACCGTGTGTGTGTGTGTGTCAGTGAGCGAGTGAGAGTGTGTTTAGGTGACCAGTCTCCCTCCAATCACACGAGTAAGAGGTTTTTACGCACCTTTTCCCCCCCCATGCTGTCCTGGTCTCTCCGCAGCTGGCCCTGCTTCCATGACTGCGATCATCAATCTTGATGAACTCAGCCAATCCAATGTTTTCCCATATATAAGCATTGGGTGGCTATTGCGTATGTGTGGCAAAACGCCATGCTGCTCCAATCAGCATTTCCTAATAGAGATGAATTGAATGAATGAATCTCTATGGGGAACATTCAGCACCTCCATGTAGAGCGTGGAGCCGCTAAACTTAGGTGCTGCGTACTTTGTGGCACTGACCCAGAATGCACTCTAGGGGCTGTCTGAGTGACTTTCACTAGAAGTGTTACTAGGCGACAATGTAAATACTGCATTTTCTCTGAAAAGGTAGGGTTTACATTGAAAAGTGTACAGGGACAGATTATAGACACAAGAACATCTACATTAAGCTGTAGTGGTTCTGGTGACTATAGTGTCCCTTTAAGAATTGTATTTTTGACGTTGAGACAGTTTTTGCTGGCTCCTAGATTCGAAGCAACATTTGTCTAGATTTATATACCAGTGATATTTAAATACACATATATAAATATATACATATATAATTGTATATGTGTGTTTATATATCACTCAAACATCTGGGGTGGCAAGACATAGCCTTACATATTACATGTGACAATATATGGCGCAATGATTTATGGGGCTGGCTTGGATTTTTTTCCAGGGCTGCTTGGTATCCCCAGTCCGGCCCTGGCTTCAAGGAGGGCTTGTAGGTAAATGTGTGTCTTTGGGAGTTTAGAAAAGATAAGAGAGAGACTGGTTTGGCAGAGGATCTTACTAGATCAAGTAATGAAAATGAACCGAACTGAGAATGAACACATAGATATGGGTTTCTAGTAAGAGATGTGAAAATGATTCAGAGGAGGGGTAGGGATATAACAAGACAGAATTGAGTAGAGATGTGGAGAAGCAAGACTCTGGAGGGAGTTTTATATGAAGGTAAGACATTGAAACATTAGAACATTAGTTTATCAAAAGCTATTAATGTCCTTCCTAAAGGGCTATGTCATGGACTCACAAGGGTATGTTAAGAAGGCAGTTGTGTTTTGAAGCAGATGTAGGAAGTTAACGGCTAAGCCATTACCCATATACGATGATGATGATGATGATGATGATGATGATGATTATATTAATAGATGTAAGAAGCACCAGAGTTAAGGATAATAATTCCTGGCAGTAATATTCATCATAGACTGTGAGGAGATAATGTCAATATATGTGAAATCAATGCAGATTGGGCTGGAATAAAAATTAAAATAGGATACAGTAAGCACATAAACAAGCACTTTGGCTGTATAAAGCTATAAAGAAGTTAACATGAGCTGCATTTTAAGAGTAAAATTGCAGAATGTGTTGATTAGATTAAATTTACTTCCTGTTCTCAGTATATAAGGTGCTCAAAGACTGGAGGCAAAAACACAGCACCACCAGGCTCATTGGAGTTCTTATATAAATCCCAATTCATGTTTTAGGGCTAAAGGTCAATAATTACTACCGGGTGTTGGAGGTCACCATATTTGTCTCAAGTTAGCTGTGTTTGCTCAGGATCACTTCTGATTTTTGAAACCGAGTGGCACTCATTGTTCCTGATGTGACAGTAAAGGAATTATTTGCAGTGGAATATGGTGTAGAAGCTTGTTCTTTGAGTATACCTTTCCCATTCATGGTGCCAATGGTTTTGCAATTGAAATAGAGCTGATGAAAAGATTTTTGTAGCTGGTTAGTGCCCTTTAAATTAAGCATAGCAATTGTGGATAGTATTACTAAGATTTATTAAGATGAAAACCAGTTTGTCCGGTAAAAGGCAGTGCCCTAGATTTTCTTATAAGTAGGTCTATTAGTCTACTAATCAGGGAGGATGAGTCATCCCTCCCTCTCAGTCTACAAACTACTTTAGATTGACCATCCTAGAAACTAAATTCTTTGGCAACCTATTGTACTTAAGTATACGGAAATATAAAATATATACAAGAGATGTGACTGCTCTATGTAGGACTTAGCCGAGTAAACCTAATGAAAATTAAATAAATGGTTAATATATAGGTTGCAAAAGAAAATGTCACAGCTTTATTTTAATAAGTCGTTATTTTCAAATGGCCAATCCAGGCTTGAGTTAATGTCTATTTTTAACATGGTAAATAATAATATGCAAAAACAAATAAATATGATCATGCGGCTGTAGCAAATGCCCAAGAGGAGCAATGATTAGTCTAGAAAGCAAATTAAATTTATCAGTCAATCCTAGCCATCAGATTATTTTTACTGGGAATGTTGAGCACATCCGTCAATCTCTGTTCAACTGGATTTTAATGTCAATGTAGTCCTGAGCAGAAGTTATAGTCAGCAGAAAAGATGAGTGGATCTGCCCACAGCAACTCGTACAGATAGTTGATTTACATGGCATGAGCACTTCCAGCGGGTACATGGCATACAAGTTCTTGTACAGTCAGGAAAAAGTTTTCAAACTTAACTCAAGAAGTGACCCATTTCAATGAGCTGTTTGCTACCGTAAATATTTCTGCTTATATAACCATGTAAGTGAAAAGAGAGAGAGACACAACCACAACTCAAGCAGAAATATAAAGTATGTTGCTTGGAGTGTCCCAACAGCTTATTTATAGAATATTTGGAAATCCCTTCCAAGCCTGCAGATTTCATTACCATTAACTCATAAAACCCGTGAGCAAGGCCTTCCCTCAAATTTACAAACAGGGTTATTTACTAATGTGAGAATTGCTGAGAATTTAAATTTAAGGCCAAAGTAGCTACTGGAAGTATAACTGATTTGGAGAATGTTTCCAGTTTGGCTATTTTGGCTTTAAATTTGCAATTCACTTTGAATTCTCAACGATTCTCACTTTTGTGTATAACCCTAAAAGAGTTTCCTTAATCACTTTCACTATAAGCTAATACAAAGTCTGCATTATAGTAAGCTCATTATTTGACACAAGTGGCCAGCATGTCAGGGGTTTTCAGCTTCTGTAGAGTAAACAGAGCATTATGTACACAGAAAGTGTCTTAGTAAGTTCAGCATCAGAGAACAGAAAAGGGTATTGTAATATTCAAGTCAGATTATTAGTCACATGCAGAACAACCGAACAGATTGCCCACGCCAGAGTTTACAAGTTACATGCCTGTCTGTTGACTAGGACAGACTCAATGAAACAAGCAAGAGTGATATTTTTTCAACAGAGTAAAAGCTCCTGTTATTGCATTTATGCCCACTATACAAATTCCTTCAAAGTGTTGCAGACTTATTTATATAATATACTATATATTTTATATCCAATTTTTTTTTTTTTGTCAATCAATTTTTTTTATTGAGATGGTAGTACCAGCATGGGACAAATAATTTAGATGAGTAATACACATTATATGGTATAGACCTAATTGGTATGGAAAAAATCTCATTTTATAATAGGTAAAGTGTCGAGCGGAATAAATAATTTTGTGAGTGAATAAGCAAATATAAGACAAAAGTACAGCCCGAAAAGAGGCATCAAGAGTAAATCAAACAGATAATGACACTGCATGTGATGTTAGCTAGGGATACAGCATCCGATTCCCAATCTGCAGTATGAAAACTGGCCCTCTGGTGTGTAGTTCCAGGCTAATTGGGACCTGTTTATTGAGAGCCTGCTGTGACAGTGCTCCTCGGTTTCCCAAAAGCAGGAACCGCCATCTTGGGAGGCTATGCGAGAGGCATCCCAAGTACATTGGTCTGGCTCCAAACCCCCACAGGCTCAGTACCAAGCTTTTCTGCTTCTGAAATATATGCAGAAGTAGAATCCACCTGCATTCACAAGCAAGGGAGAGATTCCAGCTTGCTAATGAGTCTTGCAACAATCCCCACAGTATTGGAACTCACTACTATACAGGTAGGTTGCTTTTCCACAATTCAGCAAATCTGTGAGGGAGACTGTACTCTCCACTACCTTGCTGCTATTCGGGTCAGGAACGTCTCAAAAATGTAGTTCAACCCGGACAGTGAAGTTGTAATGGGCTCTGGTCTCCGGTTCCATCCTCTGCCATCGTGGAAGTCACAAGGGATCACCAGCACAGTAGGTGTCCAACAGTGTTGGGTGGACTCCAGGGACTGGGATAAGTCCTCGGTCCAAGGTGGGGGGCAGATGTGCTGGATCTGGTCAGCCCTTCTGCGGCAAGATCCGCAAACTGAAGTTATTTATACAAAACTCACACTGAACACAGGAGCTCTCTCAGCGTGCGTCTGCACCGCTCGGATGTCAGGCTCCGCTCCCCCTGTAAAATTATATTTTGTGCTGTTACATAGATGACATTAATGATCTTAATTTGGGACAAAAAAACATATAGGTTTATTAAATAAAGTGAGAATTGTCAGGAATTCAAAGTGAATTGAAAGGCCAAAGTAGCTGAAAATTCTACTTTGGTTAATTTGGATATAAATTTAAAAGTCTCTTTCAATTCACTTTGAATTTCTGACAGTTTTCACTTTAGTGAATAACCCTATAAGCCTGGCTATCTTCTAAAAGTAATTTTGGAGAAAACTCCTTAGTTTTCATATTGTATTTGATTTGGGTATGATGAAAAATATCTCAAATTGCATGTAATATTGTATCAGTTCAGCTTTTATCAGTGGCCAAGTTTTGGATTATAATTCCAATTTCAAGTAATTAATTTAGTTCATTGGCTGTATTAACTGTAAAATGGTTAACCCTTTTATAGTTAATACAGCCAATGGACTGTGTATTTTGACCCTAAAGATTCATCAATATTTACAGGGGAGCAAGGATTGGTTCCAAAGCCTACTATCGTTACAGGTGTGAGGCTCAAAATTGTATGGAGCAGTCCCTATATTATTAAAAGGACAACACAATAGCTGAACTCATCTCTCCCCATGCAATGTGGGGCAGAGGAAAGAAGCAATGAAAAAGTATTGACTGCAGTGATACATTATCAGAAAAATTGGTCAGTCAGTCAATCATATTTGGTCCTTCACATTCTCATCAATAAGGCCGCCACACATTAAATGTAAATTCACTTTAATAAAGCTAAAAATATTTATTTTAGATTTTGTTTTAGTTTATTAAAGCTTAAAGGACCACTCTAGGCTCCCAGACCACTTCAGCTTAATGAAGTGGTCTGGGTGCCTGGTCCAGCTAGGGTTAACCCATTTTTTTTATAAACTTAGCAGTTTCAGAGAAACTGCTATGTTTATGAATGGGTTAAGCCTTCCCCCTAATCCTCTAGTGGCTGTCTCATTGACAGCCACTAGAGGCGCTTGCGTGCTTCTCACTGTGAAAATCACAGTGAGAGCACGCAAGCGTCCATAGGAAAGCATTGTAAATGCTTTCCGACGGGCTGAATGCAGCTCTTGCCGCGCGTGCGCATTCAGCCCAGGAGGAGGAGAGAAGGAGGAGAGCTCTCCGCCCAGTGCTGGAAAAAGGTAAGTTTTTAACCCTTTCCCCCTTCCAGAGCCGGGCGGGAGGGGGTCCCTGAGGGTGGGGGCACCCTCAGGGCACTATAGTGCCAGGAAAACGAGTATGTTTTCCTGGCACAATAGTGGTCCTTTAACGTTATTTTATTTCATTAGCTGTTGGTTGTGCTGTTCTTTTTAAAAAAAATCTCACTAGTCAACATTTTTTACCTTACAACTCATGCCAGGCATGAAAGACATATCAGATGAAATTCTACATTGCCCTACAGATTGCACATGTGTTCGCTGAAGAGCTCCAAGGCAACTTAGGCCGGTGAAAGCAGACATACAGTGAAGAAAGTGTATTTTACTTACCTCTCCTGTACTAATCACCCCTGTAAAAGATGATTTTTTTTTCATTGCTACTTAAAGGGACATTATAGTCACCAGAACCACTACAGCTTAATATAGTTGTTCTGGTGTCTGTATAGCCTGTCCCTGCAGGCTTTTCAATGTAAACACTGCCTTTTTTAGAGAATGGCAAGACCGGCGCGGCAAGGGAGAAAAGGTGAGTAAAACCACACTTTCAAAGCGATGTAAACGGGGCAGGGGACCTAAATCACTCAGACACACAGGCTCCCTCAAAATCACACACTGACAGACATACACACATTCACTGGCAGACACACACACATATAAAAATGTGTGCAAGTGTAATGTTTATATTGAGATAGAATGATAGATTACTTTTCTAAATTCTATATTTGGGGAATTATCAACAACAAAAAGTCTTACAATATATGCATTTACATGCAAATGACAAACTCATACACATGTCTCTATTTTGGGGTGCTACGGAGTTTGGCACAGGCTGACAGATGTATGATTGATATGCCATAAAGACCCTCTCTGGCTGAATGAAACAGTCAGCACCAGCTGGTGACTATTAACATTGATCTTCAAATAAACAACTCAAATGGTATTAGCACGGCTGTCTTTAACGCGGGGCAAACGGGGCAGCTGCCCCGGGCCCAGTTACTCCTAGGGGGCCCGAAGCAGCTCCCCTGTGGGCCCCACTGCCTGCATTAAAAAAAAAGTTTAAAAAATGATGGGACCGTTGTGCTGGTATTGCGGCTGCACCGCGGCCTGCACACTAAGGGGACCCACCGGGTGACCCATACACTTAGGGCCACCCGGTGAGCATATTTCAGCAGGGGTCCGATCGGCGCTGTGGCCCTTTAACAGCACGACCGGGCCCCTTGCTTAACGGCTGCATGGGAGAAAGTGACGTCCGCAAATCACTTCCTCCCACCTCAAAGACATCGGGCCGCGCGGGAGGCTGCTAGCCAGGATCCAGTGAGGAGGGGGAGCAAGGAGAGCCAGACCCCCAACTCCCAACTACCCCAGCCAGCACACTGGACCCCAGGGAAGGAAGCCTCTTGCAAAGGTAGGAAACTGAAGAGTGTCTGTCTGTGTGCCAGTATGTTTGTCTGTGTGTCAGTATGTCTGTGTGTGTGTGTCAGTATGTCTGTCTGTGTGTGTCAGTATGTCTGTCTGTGTGTCAGTATGTATGTCTGTGTGTGTGTGTCAGTATGTATGTCTGTGTGTGTGTCATTATGTCTGTGTGTGTGTCAGTATGTCTGTGTGTCAGTATGTATGTATGTCTGTATGTCTGTGTGTCAGTCAGTATATATGTCTGTGTGTATGGCAGTATGTCCGTGTGTGTCAGTTTGTATGTCTGTGTGTGTGTGTCAGTATGTCTTTGTGTGTCAGTATGTATGTCTATGTGTATGTCAGTATGCCTGTGTGTCAGTTTGTATGTCTGTGTGTGTCAGTATGTGTCTGTATGTATGTCTGTGTGCCAGTCAGTTTGTCTGTGTATGTGTCAGTATGTATGTCTGTGTGTGTCAGTATGTATGTATCTATCTGTGTGTGTGCCAGTGTGTATACCTGTGCATGTATCTGTATGTAGCCAATGTGTGTATCTGCATGTGTGTCAATGTTTGTATCTGCATTTTTCAGGTTATGTATCTGTGTGTCTGTATGTTGTCAGTGTATCTGCATGTGTGTCAGGTTGTGTGTCTGTATGTGTGTGTGTCAGTGTGTGTAAATGTGTCTGTATAGCTGCATCTGTATGATTGTGTATATCTGTGTGTCTGCAAGTGTTTCTGTATGTGTATGTGTATCACAGTGTGTCTGTGTGTGTGTTTGTGGCAGTGCATGTGTATATGTGCATACATCTCAGCATTCAAACGCCAACACTACACGCAAATACACACCTGCATTCAAACTTCAACACTACATATAAACACACCTCTTTTTTTAAACAACAAAATTATATATGAACACACCAGTGCATTCATAAACCAACACTACACATAAATGCATGCTTGCATTCAAATGCCATCTCCACATACAAACACTCCCCTACATTCACACAAACATACTCCATACAAAAACATGCTTACACTCAAACACACAAATACTGCACAGTGCTAAATGCAACCCTGCATGCATGGGGATCTACCTTTTGCCCCCTCTTGCCCAAAATAATTCATGCACCAGAGCCCTCTCTACTCTACGTCTGCCTCTGCGTTGGGGTGGGAGGCTTTATTGCATGCCAGGGAGGGGACGACAGGGTCCAAGCAAATGTTTGCCCAGGGTCCAATCAATATTAAAGACGGCCCTGGGTATTAGCAGAACATGACATCTTTCTAAGGCTCATGAGTTCACTTGCCTTCGAGGGAGCGCTGATTTGTGAGTTCTCCCTGCTCAGCTCCCTCGCGTGCCTCAGAGTGATGCCGGGAGCCAGAATGTGACATCATATTCCCTTTAAAGCGTAGCTAACAAGGCATTAGCTGAGCATTTGGGGGTGGCATGCCGCCCCCTGGAAAGTGCCGCCCAATGCAAATGCCTTGTTTGCCTCGCGGATGATACGTCCTTGGTAGGGACTAGTTTCTGAACTAATTTGTGATTAATTCACACTTTGAGGATAATTTGAATCAATTAACGTTTATTAAAATTAGGTTTGGTTTGTCTCCAGTTTGGCTGTTATTTGTATTCTTAATCCCAGGGGCTGAAACCAAAATTGGGTTTTTGACATTTCCCAAAATACAGCATGTGAATCAGGCCTTTGAAAACTCATGATAAAAAGGGTTACTGTAGCAGCACTGTCTTACTAAACTAAACACAGATCTTTCTAAAACAAGGGGGGGAAATCCAGTGAAGTTTTTTGACAGAATGGGAAAGTGAAATATTGTTACAATTAATGTCCAAGTTAATGCCATGCTCAAAATTGGAATCCATGTCAAAAAAGAACCGCTCCATATATAGAAATCAAATTGAAGGATCTAATTGCTTAAATTGACATTATTACTGATTGTAAATCTAGCCTACAGTATAAATATCCATGCAACGATGTAAAGAAAAAAAAAATCGATTTTATTTTAAATTTCTAATTTATTTCTAATTTTGCAAAAACGCTGCAGAATAAGCTGGCGCTATATAAATATAAATGATAATAATGGATCAAATGTTGTAATCTTGGGTTTAAATGTTACCACAAATGCCTGTTTAGTGAATAACACCCAGGGGTATTCTGCAGTTCCCCATTGTAGAATGACACTAAAATAATATGTTAAAAAATACCGTACCTAATTTCATTTTGGAAATGTAGCAATTTTAGTGTGACACTGTCAGGACGAGGGTTAACTAGTATGCAGGTCACATGGCTGGCACATTGCATCACATGGAACATTGATGTGTAAAAAAAAAACTCTCAGCACTGTTGTAATCTCTGCTGGAATCTTACACAGCCCCCTGCCCCCACCTCCACCCCCGCCTCTTTATCCCTACACTCTGTCTATTGTGCTGACAAGGGCTTTTTGGCTGTAAGGGAGCTGCAGGTTATGCCAGTCTGGGTAAATATATGAGAGCTTAGAAATCGTGAACGCAGACATCATATGTCAAAGGTCAGATAATTATTAGTATTATTATTATTTTATCATTTATTTATCGCCAGCAAATTCTGTAGCACTGTACAATGGGATAATGATTCCAGAATAAAAAATTAAAACAATTGTGTGTCAGGTTTGCGGTAAAGGAAAGCAGTGCTCCGCAATCGGTGTGCTAGGTGTGCTGCCCACGGCTGCCATCAGGGGGGTACAGCCTACACTTGTAAGCCTCCCTCCCTGAGTCTTTGCAAAGTTGCATAGCATGAATGGGAACAAGAGGCTTCATCTCTGTGGCTGGGCGGCTACCATGGCAAAGCTTAATTCCACATGGTGCCGAGGCTCGTGAGAAGAGCCTTCACCAGGCAGAGCTGGAGAGTCTGAGGAGAATGCTGAGAGCCTCTACAGCGCCATTGCACCACCAGAGTATAGGCTGTCCCCGCACCCTCCCCGGCCACATGTAAGAAACAGGATGGGAAAAATAAACATAAACTTTAAAAAGGAATAAAATTAAATAATATAAAAAAAAAAATAATACACTTCTCCAATCTCAGCCTCTGCAAAATTCAGCCTCTGTTCTACCCCACAAACTCTCTCTCACACTACACACACTTACTGTGATATTTATTACTTGACAAACTGACTGTGATATGTATTAACGGCCATATTTACTGTGATATTTATTCATTTGTAAACTTGCTGTGGTATTTATTAATGGGCAAACCTATTGTGAACTTACTGTGATATTTCTTAATTGGCAAACTTAATATGGTATTAATTGACACACTGACTGTGATATGTATTAATGGCCATATTTACTGTGATATTTATTAATTTGCAAACTTACTGTGGTATTAATTGGCAAACTCATTGTGATATTTTTTTAATGGATACACTTACTGTGGTACTTAATAATGGGCAAAGTTACTGTGGTACGTTTCAATGGGCATCTGGCTTGGCATATATTTAATGGGCGAACTGACTGTGGTATATTTTTATGTTTTTACATTTTTGCTCAGGTGCTCATCCCATCACCTCCTCATCCCGCCCCTCCTTGGCTTATTCTACTAATATGAAAGCAGTGGCTTGGCTGTCAGTGATAGGCTGAGTGTGTCCTGGGAAAGACATAGCAGCTGAAGGTACCTGGAGTTAGGAAATGCATTATTACAATTAGAGACACATTAGGGTTTGTGATCAATCTTGACTAACCCCAAATTGTATTCTCATCCTAGCTTTAAAATACCCCAAATGTATCAAAATATAGTTTTATTTCGGTATTATCAACAGAAATATTCTTTCAATTCCACTACTGCAGCTAAATAAAACATTAAAATTATGTTACCATGCTCTTATAAAATCATTGCAAAACAAATAATTTTATTAAAAACTATCCTCCTATAACAAACACTATTATATATATCTCTGATCACAAGGAAACAGTTACATTGTATTTATGTAATTATTATGTTTACACTATGCTTATAGAATCTTAACATTCTGATCTGCCTCTAAAGAAATAAGTTCTCTTCTCATTTCCTTCCAAAAACCTGATCAGCTCAGACTGCTGAACTAGCTGACACACAGCTACACAAAGCTTTTGTACTGTTATTGAAGGAAGGCTTTGCACCTTAAGCATCTATTATGTAATGTGCAGTACAGAGCTCAGAAAACATCCCATCATGCACCACACTTGGTACAGTCAAAGGTTGTGTGTTATGTAATTGTTCTCGGGGAGAGGTACAGCATGACCTTATATGGCAGAGGGATTTAGCAGCACATAGATCAATTCTACAAGAAAACTCCAGTTTATTTTTTTTCTGTTTATTTTTGTTGGGGAGAGGAGGGTCGGGGGTAGTATTTTAGTAGCAATCTTTTTCTTGCAAGGAGAAAAGGAGATTACGCTCTAAATGAGATAAGACTGGAGGAACCAACCAAGAGACGTTTGTAT